GTTGTAGTTTTCCTTGTAAATAGTTTTTCTTATCCCTTTTGTTGTCGCTGTTCCTGTTTGTTCCTTATCTCGTTGCTGTTCCCATTAAATTGTTCTAATCCCAGCTCAGGATCTTTGCCTTTTGTGCTTTCCATGGGAGGCGGGAGGGCAGCGAGTGGCAGCGCGGTTTTAGCGGGAGCAGGAAATTGGGGAATCCCATTCCTGAAGCCCGGCCCATGGAAACCGAGCATCGCAGCTGGTGCCAGCCCTGGTGGCCATGGCAGCAGCCTTGGGAGCGGGTCCCTGGCTGGGGCTGAGGGAACCTCTTCACTCTGGTGCCCAGGGACAGGAGTGCAGGGAGCGGCTGCAGCTGAGTCGGGGCAGGCTGAGGTTGGATCTCGGGGAAAGGTTTTTGCCCAGAGGCTGCTGGGGCACTGCCCAGGCTCCCCAGGGAAGGGTCACAGCTCCAGGGCTCTCTGAGCTCCTGCAGCGTTTGGACAGCGCTGCCAGGCCCAGGCTGGCAGTGTTGGGGTGCCCTGTGCAGGGCCAGCAGCTGGACTCGAGGATCCTGATGGGTCCCTCCCAGCTCAGCCACTTCTGTGGTTCTGGGATCCCATGATCCTGAGAATGGGATGCCAGAGGTTGCCATGGCAACAGCCTGTGGCTGCAGGCCTGAGCTGGTGTCCATGGCAACCACCCCTGGCATGGGATCTCCATGGAGCTGCCCAGGGACTGACCACAGCAACAGGGGCTGGGGATGGTTGCCATGGAAACTGACCATAGCAACAGGGGCTGGGGATGGTTGCCATGGAAACTGACCATAGCAACAGGAGCTGGGGATGGTTGCCATGGAAACTGACCATAGCAACAGGGGCTGGGGATGGTTGCCATGGAAACTGACCATAGCAACAGGTCTGGGATGGTTGCCATGGAAACTGACCATCGCAATGGGGGGTTGATGATGGTCTCCATGGAAACTGAGCACAGCAACAGGGGCTGGTGATGTTTGCCTGTGAAGGAACCGAGTTGCCACAGGCACTCAGAGAGGTTCCATGGGGACTTCCCAAGTCTCCAGGCTCTTCAAGAGCTGGAATGTCACACACAGAGAGACAGGGGCTCCGTGGAGACCTGCCAGGGCTTTCTGGGGATGGTAAGGAGCCGAGTGGTCAGAGGCAGTCACAGCCATTCCATGGTGACATCCCGGCGCACCTTGTGCTGCAAAGGCACCGGTCTGTCACAGGCACTCACAGGGGCTCCACGGTGACATCCCAGGAGTGCCCAGGCTGCCAAAGAGGCGGGAGGTCCCAGACACTCACGGGGTTTCTGTCACAAGTAGAGTGGGAGCTTCGGGCAAAAGCATTATTTCTTTATTGGAGAAACTCCTGCTGAATCATGAGATGGAGAAATGATACCCAGCAGCCACCCTGAAACCCCAAAACCCTCCAGGACGTTTAGACTTCTAAAATTTGTTCAAAGAGAGGAGCCTCTGAGTGGCTGGATCCAATCCCAGCCCCAGACTTTCTCAAAGGTGTAAAAGATTGGACAGGTGGAATTGAACTTCAGTGCAATTTGTCCCACAGGATTAGCGATGGAATCCCAGATATATTTATAGAAATGTAATGGAACAGTTCATACTGAGTGCTACCACACAGCACTTACAGGATGGCCAGGGTACCAGACCCAGGCAGCATGGGTTTACACAGGGCAGATCATGTCTGAGCAACCTGGTCTCCTTCTATGACCAGGTGACCCACTTGGTGGATGCAGGCAGGGCTGTCTGTGGATGTTGGCTATTTAGACTCCAGCAAGGCCTTTGATGCTGTCTCCCACAGCACACTCCTGGAAAAGCTGCAGCCCACGGCTGGGCCAGGAGCGCTCTGTGCTGGGTTAGGAACTGGCTGGATGGCCGGCCCAGAGAGCGGTGGTGAGCGGTGCTGCATCCAGCTGGGGACAGGCACCAGTGGTGTCCCTCAGGGCTCTGTGCTGGGACCAGTTCTATTGAATATTTTTATAGACGACATGGATGAGGGCATTGAGTCCTTCATTGGTCAATTTGCAGAAATACTAAGCTGGGAGCTTGTGTTGATCTGTTGGAAGGAAGGAGGGCTCTGCAGAGAGATTTGGATCGATTGGACGGATGGGCAGAGTCCAACAGCATGAAGTTTACTAAGTCTAAGTGCCGAGTTCTGCATTTTGGACACAAAAATCCCCTACAGCATTACAGGTTGGGGACAGTGTGGCTGGACAGTGTCCAGGCAGAAAGGGACCCGGGGGTGCTGGTGGACAGCCGGGTGGATATGAGCCAGCAATGTGCCTCGGTGGCCAAGAAGGCCAATGGCTCCTGGCCTGCATTAGGAATTGTGTGACCAGCAGGAGCAGGGAGGTCATTCTCCCCCTGTACTCGGCGCTGGTGAGACCGCACCTTGAGTGCTGTGTCCAGTTCTGGGCCCTCAGTTCAGGAAGGACATTGAGATGCTTGAGCACGTCCAGAGGAGGCAACGAGGCTGGTGAGGGGCTGGGAACACAAGCCCTGTGAGGAATGTTTGAGGGAGTTGGGGTTGTTTAGCCTGGAGAAGAGGAGGCTCAGAGGTGACCTTACTGCTCTCTACAGCTCCTGAAGGGAGGCTGCAGACAGGTGGGGGTCGGTCTCTTCCACCGGGCAGCAACTGGCAGAACAAGAGGACACAGCCTCAAGCTTTGTCAGGGAAGGTTTAGGTTGGATATTAGGAAAAACTTTTTCACTGAAAGAATAATAAAATACTGGAATTGTCTTCCTAGGGAGGTGGTGGAATCACTATCTCTGGATATGTTTAAAAAAAGACTGGATTTGGCACTTGTTGCTATAGTCTGGTTGTGGTGTTAGGGCACAGGTTGGACTTGATGATCTTAGAGGTCTCTTCCAACCTCATTATTCTGTGATACCGTGATTAAAAAATAAAGTTGTTTCCTTTTACTCTCTTAATCTTAATAAGAGTGCGTGAGTTATTTTGTGTCCTGGTGCAACAGTGTGACATCACAGTGGCTGTGTAACCTCACAGAGATCAGTGTCACATCACAGAGATGTCTGTGTGACATCACAGGGTCAGTGTGACATCACAGGGGCAATATGACATCACAGAGATGTCTGTGTGACATCACAGGAGGTCGTGTGATGTCACAGGATCAGTGTGACATCACAGAGATGTCCATGTGACATCACCAAAAGCAGTGTGATGTCACAGCTGCTGTGTGACATCACAGGTGCTGTGTGACATCACAGGATGCTGTCTGACATCACAGGGGCTGTGTGACATCACAGGAGGTTGTGTGATGTCACAGGTTTGTGTGACATCACAGGAAGGCTGAGTGACATCAGAGGGGCTGTGTGACATCACAGATAGCTGTGTGACATCACAGGGGCAATATGACATCACAGAGATGTCTGTGTGACATCACAGGAGGTTGTGTGACATCACAGGTGCTGTGTGACATCACAGAGATGTGTGTGACATCACAGGGTCAATATGACATCACAGATATGTGTGTGACATCACAGGGTCAGTGTGACATCACAGAGATGCCCCTGTGACATCACAAAAAGCTGTGTGACATCAATGGGTCAGTGTGACATCACAGAGATGTCCGAGTGACATCACAGAGAGCTGTGTGACATCACAGGGGCAATATGACATCCCATAGATGTCTGTGTGACATCACAGGGGTGTGTGACATCACAGGAAGGCTGTGTAATATCACCCTGCACTTTTAAATGCTTTAAAGTTCTTTTAAAAGTTTTCTCTGCCTCCTAATGTTTACATATTTCTACTAGAGTTCTCATGCACTGTTCATGTAAATAATAATTGTTGTACTTTCTTCCTTATAAGAAGAGAGAATTGATGGAGTGTTAGTTTAACCAGTGAAGTTAGAGAAGTAGATAGGTCCAAAGGCCAAATGGACTGTTGGATCTCACCCCAATGTACGGTTCATCCCACACCTGTAACCCTCCCCTGAAGCATCAGGTGTCTGTGACCCCATTGGCCCAGGTCTTGTTCCAGCCCACCTTGAAACCCCCTGATAAGGAGTCTCTGAGGAGCCAGACGCCCTCTTGGAATTTCCCCTCTCTTGGAATTTCCCCTCTCTTGGAATTTCCCCTCTCTTGGAACTCCCCTTCTCCTGGAACTCCCCCCCTCTTGGAACTTCCACCCTCTCCTGGAGCATCCTCTTGTCTCTCTCTCCCCCTTGTCTCTCCCTCCCCACTCCCTCAGGCCCTGCCCCGTGCTGCGTCTGGCGGCTCCACGCAGGACCTTTCCCCCTCTGTAACAAACCTGATATTCTAAGAGCAGCCTTCAGAGATCTCTCGTCTCCATCCATCCAAACCCTCCTGGAGCACAGCGTCCCCGCACCTCTCTGCCACACAACCTGGCAGCAGCCTGGGCCAGTTCCCCTCTGCCTGAGCGTGCCAGGCAGCAGACGGGGCTGGGACAAGTCCCTCCCAGCTGTCCCTGTTTGTGTGCCAGAAGCCTCTAAGGGTGGGGTGGGGGGCACAAACCAGGGCCCCTCAGAGGCTCACAGGGAGGCCCCACAGCCCCTCCTGCCCACAGCCAAATCTCTCCAGACTGCTCTGCCAGGGCTGGCAGCCTTGGGTTCCTCTGCCACCATTGCATGGCTCTGTACCCTGCATTGCTCTACTTCAATTCTTTTGCTGTTAGGTAAAACAGAACACACCACCCAGTTCCAAAACAGGGCAACAGAGACAGTCAGAAAACAGAGCACCCGAGAGGTGGAGGTATTCAGTTTTGTGAAGAACAGGCCCCAGGGAGACTTTATTGCCGCTTTCCAAGACTTCAGAGTGGCTTTGAAGAAAGTGGGGGACACCTTTTTTAACAGGGCCAGTTACAATAGAATGTGGGTGAATAGTTTTAAACACAAAGGGGATCTAATCAGAGTAGGTCTAAGGAAGAACTGGTTTACTCGGTGCATGGTGCCACCCTGGCACAGGTTGTCCCAGGACTTGTAGGTGCCCATCCCTGGAACCATCCCAGGTCAGGTGGGACAGGGCTCTGAGCAACCTGATCTCTTTAAAGATGTCCCTGCTCATTGCAGGACACTTGGACCAGAGGACTTTACAGAGCCCTGCCAGCCCAGCCCAGCCCAGCACTGCTCAGCATTTTCATTTGAAGAGCACCAAGAGTGGAGGTGAGGAGGAAGGGGGCTCATCTGATGCCTCGGGCCTCACTGGAGGAGGAGCCCATCCCTCGCACACTCTTTCACCTGCAGCCCCTTTGCGTTTTACCTGCAGGAGCTCGTCGGCAGACCAGCGCCGCTCCTCGTCTCTCTGCAGGCAGCAGCTCAGGAAGTCACGCAGCCAAGCCGAGAGGAGCTTGGGCTGCCGCAGCTGAGGCGTCCCTGCTGTGGCTCTCAGGTGTTTAGTCTGGAGAAAAAGGGAACACGAGGCTCCACCTGCTTCTTTCCCATCTGTAACTGCTCTCCAGAGCCCATTGTTTAACCTCCATTCTGCAGTGGCAGTTTCTGCCCTGGCAGAGACCCAGGGATGACTTTCCTTTACCAACAAAAAACCCAAACTCTGATGCCACCACAGCTTTGCCAACATCCTGCCAATCTTGCCTTGGCAGCCGATTTCATTGACTGACCTAGTTAGTGGGAACTACATCAGCAAAAGCACATTTCCTTCTCTGAGGATTCACACCAGCTGGACAGCCTTTTCGGAAGGGGGACTTTGCTATGTTAACTAATTCCAAGGATTAGTACATGAACGGCATCTCTGCAGTGCTTGTTGGTCCCTTAAGCACAGTTGCCATAGAACAAGACTCATCAAGTTTTTTGTCCTGCTCTTGAAAACTATGGTAATTGGAAGAAAAGAAAGGAAATCCACCAGTTAATCCCCAGGTAAAGAAACAAACATTTACAATCCCATATTCAACACAGATACATTAAGATGCATGCACAAATGTATTGGGATGAAAATGCCTGCTTGGGCACACAGGAGCCACCTGCAGCTCTGTCTCTCAGCAGTCTAAAAATTTCATCTTCCCTTATGCAGCAAAAGAAAAACTTTTCCTGCTCAGAAAAAGGAGAAATGCCATCCCTATGGACACCCTCTGCTCATTTGCCTACTCAAGTCAATGCATGAGTGGTAGGCCCATCCCAGAAAATGCCAGGAAACAAACAGGAGGTTTTGGCAGGCTCTCCCCCTCACCAGGCTCCGGCTTGGTGACGTGGAGAACGTGGCTTGGGCTATGAGAGAAACACGGCCACTAAGTGTTTCAGCAACACTGCACAAGAAGCAGAAGGGACTCTGTGGCCTTGAAGCCTCATGCCCAGGTTTCAGGCATGTTTCCCAGTGAGCAGAAACTGCACAGGGGGTTAAGTTCCTCTCTAGAAACCACTGTTTTAGAAACTTTGCTGGGTTTGGGGTTCTTTCCTTCATTTCTGGAAGGATAACACCAGTTCTAAGATGCTCGTTTCTGCTATTGGGGTCATCTACACAGACAAAAGAACTGGAACCGCTTATAACCCAAAGGAAAGTGTTGCCTGAGAATGGGGTTTGTTTGCATGTGGTAAGGCTTGAGTTCCACACTGATGCAACCAAAACTGCAGCAGATGCTGATGTGTTGCAGGGACATTTTTAGGTGGAAGTCGTTCCAGCAGATGGCAATGGGATTTTGTCCAATGGCACACAGAACACGGGGCAGGTGAGAAAGACAAGCGGGATCAGTATTTGCTCCTTACCGTGGCAGGACTTTGGTTCCAGTAAGGAACATTTTGTTCTACCATTTCAATTCCCACAATTCCAAAAGACCATATGTCCACTTTGGGGCCATATGGTTCACGCATCAGCACTTCAGGCGCCATCCACCAAGGAGTCCCGGCTACCGAGGACGGTCTCTTCTCCTCAGGGCCGAGCTCAACAGAGATGCCAAAATCAGCTGAGGGGAAAGCAAAATACTGGTTTTATTTGAATTCTGTGCAATTAGGAAATTGAGCAAAGGAATTCCCCAGTAGAAGTTTGAGAACGTGCTGTTGAATGTCCTGGACAACTGTCCCTGCTCTGTTTCCTCAGGACTTTAGCCAAGGAAATATGGTATTGGCGACTTTAAAAATCCCCACATTTTTTACACTGCCTTCAGCAGTGGCTTTTGTTCTTTGGAAGCTTTAGACTTGTAACTGCCTCCCTCTGGAAGGGACACACACAGAGCAATGCCACTCTTGGCTGCTTGTTCCTCGTCATACCTCTGTGCACATTGCAACCGTGCCATCAGCTCACAGTGGGGGGGTCCCTGCACTGCCCCCAGCACCATTTTTGGGGAGCTGGCAGTCACTCAAAGCAGCCCCTCACCCCACATCCCTGGAACACTGCACCTGACCAGGAATATACTGACCCAGCTTGACAGAGCCGTCGGCTCCGGAAAGGATGTTGCTGCTCTTCACATCTCGGTGGATTACGTGGTTTGAGGGAAGAAAATCCAGTCCTTGCAGGCACTGAGAGAGAAAACAGAAACAGGAGGGCAAAAATTAGCGCTGTGATTCCATGGCAGAAGAAAAGAAACAAAGAATCTAAAAGATGCCCTGTGCGGGGGAATGGCGAGTAATGGCAGAACGCAGCGCCATTGAGAGGAAGAGCTGCTGCTCCAACACTTGCAGAGCAGGACCTTTCTAAGGAAAGGCATGCCAGCTTTGGAAAGAGCAACAGCACCTGCTGCTGTTGTACACTGTCCCCTGCAAACCAGCCAGGATGACTGCTGCTGCAGTGGGTGTGCTCAGAAGCAAAGCGCATTTTGGCTGCACTACTGTGGTTTTTAGCTGAGGACTGAGAGAAATGAGTCTCCCCTTTTTCCTTTGCTGTTCGTTTCAAATCCTGCTACCAGCACCTTTGCTTTTACAAGCAAGGAATGCAGCGAAGACAGGCAAAGGTTTAAGGAGGCAAGATGGAGAACAGCAAATACAAGAGGCAGAGTGAGAATACAACAGCAGGAGATAAGAGTACAAGAACAGAGTACAGTGAGTGCGAGGGCACTGGCAGGCATTTCACTTGAGATGCTTTTACTTGCCCATAGCATACCAGCAATGCAGAAACAAAGCTTTATACATGAAACCTCTCCTGTTCTGAGCCCCTGTTTCCCAGACAATCCTGCCCAAACCCTTGGAAGCACAAGTGGGATTGCTGACCTCCTGACTGATGGATGCTATGTCACCTTCACACAGGCAGGTCTTGCTGATGACATCGCTCAGAGTGCCTCCGTCCATGTACTCCATGAGCAGCCAGAGTTCCTCACCCAGAAGGTAGCTGAAAGAAGGAAACAAGGGCACGGGCATGAACGTACATGGCTACATTGCTGTTTGGAAAAGACAGGGGTTGATTCTTGTTTTCAGGTCCCTTTGAGACAAAGGCAGAATCAAAGCAATAGACATTCCCTCTTGGCTGTGTGTTGTTTGCAATCTGTGCAGTCTCAAGGAGAAAAGAACAGCTGTGAAAAAGGAGATGTCTTAGATGGCCAGCAAGCGAAAAGCGTGGTTTAGTAACAGCCCAGATAAAAAGCCTGTCACGCATGGTGTTCCTGGAAATAAGCACCTAGTCTTCCTGGCATGCATAGCAATGGAAAAGAAGGGCAACAATCCAAGGGAAATCAGCTTTAGGATGGTTCACCAGCATTTAAAAAACTTTTTAAAAGCAATCCCAAAAAAATGTGGAGGCAGTGAACTTAGAGGGTATTAACTTAGTAAGATACAGCTGATCCAGGTTTTGAATAATTTCTGAATAATTTTCAAACTACGTGTGCCAGGGAAGACTCATGCAGACAAGATGCACTCTCTTCTCATCCATTGGAGATGAGTAGAGAAATATTAATACAGAATAATTAACAGCTCTACTTTCTAAAAGTGACCAAAGTGGGTTTTTAACCTCTCGTGTTTGCTGTATGTAAACACACATTCATGGGATAAGTCCATGACCACTCACCTGTCTAAATAATTCACAACACTGGGACTCCTATGCCTCTTCATGATACTGATTTCATTAACGGTTACTTGCTTCCCCTTCAATCCTTTAAGTCTTATTTTCTTTATGGCCACCTAAAATGACACTGAAAATCAGTAACTTGAGAAGTTGGTGGCACGAGACCACAAGGCACATGGAGCGAGTGATTTTGCAATGACGCAGCCGAGCTGTGCCAAACTGCCTCGTGATTAGGCACTGCAGGAACTGGAACTGACATTGCAACAGCCCATTGCTCCGCGCCCTTGGAGGCCAGTTACAGGACACGGGGCCACTGAGGTTTTGCCGTGTCCACTTGCTAACAGTGGTGTCTCAGCTATCACTCACAAACCTCTGAGCCCACTCCCTGCTGCTTTGTATGGGATTCAGAAGAAGTGATCCATGCCTCAATACTCTGTGGATACAACTTGGGCGATGGCTTTTAGGGATGCCTTGCAGATCTCTCCCTGTGTGCAGTTCCCAAGTGCAGCACTGCAGGTGGCTGAGGAACTACCAGTAACTTTCAGATGCATTTTCTGGCAGGCAGAGATGAGAATTCAGGACTCGGAAGCTGTCGCCCCAAAGAGCAGTGAGATGCTCTAAGACACCACCTTTGTTTTAGCAATTGAGAGCGAGTGAGCACATCCTTCTCCGAAATGAACTGCTGCCCTCTGGGCCTTCTTTTTGGCAGCTGAGAAGGACAAAGACTGTCCCAAATGTATTTTGCAGGCTGGCACCAGTCTGTGCTTCTTTTGCCTTTTCAGCACAGCTCTGCCCAAAGCTCTGGCCACAGCTGCCCACACCAGAGGAGAAAGCCCCTCGGGTGCAGCAGAGTCTGCGGGGGCTGTTGACATTTACCTCTCCTCCTGTGGCTTTGTTGAGTGCTCTAACCACATGTCCAAAAGTCCTAGAAACAAAACAGAAGCAGAGAAAGGAGAAGCTGTTTATTTCGTAGAGTGAAAGCCAGCCCACACAGGAGATCTCTGCTATAAATGCCTAAAACTTGCAGGATGCAGGAGGTCTCTGTCAGAAGGCAGATGATCCTTTTTCCTCTCAAGTGCATGGGCAGTGCCTGGGCCAGTTGCTGAAGCGTTGGGGTTTACTGCCTCAGCTCCTAAAGGGAATTTATTCTTTCATCTTGGGTTTCAGTTTCTAAACTGTGTGGTTCCTATCCTGACCGTGCAATATTTCCTTCCACAAACCATGGGAAAGAAATGTTCCTGAGAACTGTTATTTCACAGCTTTGATAGGGGGTAGGTTGCTCTTTCAGGCAAGCAAGGTTCTTCTTTTTTCATTAGTGTGGCAGTGTGATTTTGAGACATACAAAAATGCTAAAGAAGTTAACACAGAGCTGTCCCACACTTGAGAGACAAAGAGATCTTCCAGGTCCTGTTCCTTGATGCAGGCAAGACCTCAGCAGCATGGAGACGTCTCTGACAATGCTTTCTGAGCACACACACAAATTCTGAGCAGCACTGAAGCGATGGGACAATCTATCCCCAGTATCTGAACACGTTTGCAGCTGGCCTGAGTTCACACTGGATAGATCTTCCAGTGAAACACCTGATATACCAGCAAAACACCTGGCCCATGGTTGTGTAGAAGTAACTGTGGCTGGACTCACCCCTTGCCAATATCTTCCAGTTCAGTGTATTTCATCATGGGATTTTCCATGTTCACCATTTTCCTCCCGTTGTCCAGGCTAAAGCTCCCTCAGCACCCCCTCCATGGCCTTGTGCTCCACAGCCTTCCCCAGCTCCCGTGTCCTTCTCTGCACACGCTCCAGCCCCCCGAGGACTTTCTGCTTCAGAGGGGCCCACAAGTGGACACAGCACTCCCAGCCATGGCCGCAGCGCTGCCCAGCCCAGGGGAACGGTCACTGCCCTGCTCCTGCTGCCCCACTGCTGCTGACACAGGCCAGGGCATCCTTGGCCTTCTTGGCCACCTGGCCACACACTGGCCCACCTTCAGCTGCTCTTGACCGGCACCCCTGCGTCCTTTTGGCCCACGCAGCTCCCCCACCACAAAGTTGCCCGCTTGACTTCAAATAGAGCATCCCCAGTTCCAAGATGTCCTTCCTCTTCTCAGCAACACAAGACAGCAGTCAAGGACTTGCAGCTTCCCCCCCAGCCTAGGCACTAATGCCATTCCCAAAGCTGCAGGCTGTGTGCAGCTGTCCCTGCAGGATGGCCCCAGGGCAGAGCCCAGCCGGGCTCCCCCTGCAGCCCCTGAAGCTTGGGGCAGGCAGTGGTCCCAGAGCTGAGGTTCACGGGGAGCACCCACAGCTGTGCCTCGCACTCTGTTGCCGTGTCACCGTGCAGGCTGGCTTGTACGGGGTGAATGTACCAGCCCTGGTTTGACTGACAGGGGCCTGGCCCATCACATCTCTCCCAAGGCTGCAGGCATTCCCCAGGCCAGAATCTGAAGGGGCACAGAGATCAGACCAGTGAAATCATCCAGACTGGGTTTTTCAAAGGCCCTTTAGAAGGAAGGGCTTGAGAATAAACGTGCTCTGTTTGCCACAGGAACATCGGGGTGAGTGGTCTCTTTGGCTCCAACCCACTTTCCTCCCCATGCCAACGTTACCCACTCCCTCACACGTCCCCCCCGTGCCTTCCCACTGCCTTGTCCTGTCAGGGCTTCCGCAGCCCCTCATCCCTTCGTGGCCCCGTCCCCTCAGGCTCTCCCCAGCCCGGCCAACCTGCCCGGCAGCAGCGCCGCAGCCCCACAGGAGCTCCAGAGGAGCCCATCCAGAGGCACCTGGGAGCCCTCAGCAATCCAGGCAGCAACACACGGGCAGGAGGACACGGATGGCGCTTCCTGCCTGGGACAGGGCTTGTGGCCATCTCCAGGCACTGCTCTCACAGAGATCCCCACAGCTCCAGCCCCTGCCCATCTGCTCTGTGGGCAGCACAAAGGCTTTGGCAGAACCACCAAAGGCCAAGGGGCTTCTGGCCATTTTCCCTGCAACCCTGCATGCCTGGGCAGCTTGCTGAGCCCAGGATCCCTTTTGTCCCTCTTCCCCTAGACCCTGCAGAGCCTGGGCAGCAAAAGAAAGATCCTGGGAGTCTGTCTATTCCAACACATCCTATATTTATATGCTAAAGTAAAACAAAAAGAAAGAAAAGATCAATCTTAAACAAACGAAACATTCCTGCTGGCTCGGGCGGCCCCAGCAGACAGAGCCTCTGGGATCAGCTCTCTGCAGAGCTCCAGCAGCGCAGCCAGCCGAGCCCCGACAGACGAGGCCGTCTCCTCCATGCCCTGCGGAGCCGATCATGCAGGTTGCCAAAGATGGAGTATGGAGCTCTCTCTGCTTCCTGGAGGACGTACAATGTTTGAACTGCCAGGCTTGCGACGGGGACTTTGATGTCATTTTCCATGCCTTCAAGGGCTGAAAGAGAGAGGAACAGAGCCATGGTCAGTTCCCACATCTGAGGGGACCCAAGGAGAGCCCCGTGCCAGGGCCATCCCAGCCGGCTCTGGCCATGGCCAGCAGGGAGCAGGGACCAGCTGGATCAGCCCGAAGCTGCTGGCCAGGAATCCCCCAGGTGCCCTGAAACCTCTGTGTGCTCTGCCCACGCCGGCCCTGGTCCGCACAGGGAGCAGAGCCCTCCGCAGCCGGGGCAGGGCTCGCAGCTCCCCGCCAGCCCCTGCTGGCAGCCGGCTGCCCTCACTCACCCTCAGAGATGAGCTGGAGCTCTTCCTTCCTCCCCCTCAGGTACCGCCCGGCCGTCCCTGGGAACACAGAGCCTGTCAGGCCCGGCGGCACAGCTCCCTGCCAGCGGCGCTGCCAGCCCTGTGCCCACACGGCCTCCTGGCCCGGCTCGTGGCTCACCCATGAACCTGACGGCCGCCTCTCGCAGGGGCTCCTGTGGGCTCTGCAGGTAGGGCAGGGCCCGGCGCAGGTGCTCGGCCACGCTGCTGCTGTCCTCTGCCAGCTGCAGAGAGCGGCAGGAGGGAAGGGTTGGCCCCGCAGCCCCGCCGGGCCGGGGCTCCATGGGCACCTGGCTCGGGCCGCAGGAGCCTGGAGCAGAGCCCGCGCGGCCTCGGGCTGCAGCAGCGGGCAGGGGCACAGCTGCCAGCCCGCACACCGAGCACCGCGCTCAGGGGGCTTCTCCAGGCTGGGGCTGCGGCTTCCCGGCCCTCCTTACCAGGCACTCGGTGAACTTCCATGGCTTCTGGTTCTTCAGCAGCTTTTCGAGATCCCTCATCTTCAGGAACTCGGCCGCACAAAGCAGCGTTTCCTGAGAAGCCTGGAGAGCAGAAGAGACGCGGAGATGGCCCCACAGCCCAGGGCACAGGACCCGTCCCTGTGCCAAGGCCAGCAGGAGGCTGCAGCCTGCGAGGTGCCAGGGCAGGGGCAGCTCAGCCCTTCCCGGGGAACAGCAGCAGCTGCCGAGTCCTCACCTCTGCCACTCGCTGGTTCTCATCATGGCAGTGGAAGGAGAGTGGCAGCAGGCTCTGGTGCACGTGTGCCTTCAGGGCCTTTTTTTCCTCTTCCGGAAAACGATCCAGCATGTCTCGGAAGATAAACATGGAGCTCAACTGCACCTGGCTATCCTCCTGTATGAAAGGAAGGAAGAAAGACCTCAGCGTCAGCTGCTTCAGGCCCAGCTGGGCACAGCCTGTAAGTGCACAGGGCACAAAGTGTGCGGGTAGCACCCGCTGGCCGTGGCTGGAGGCGCAGAGCCTTACGTTGTCAAAGAGTGGCAGGAGCGCCTCAGCCAGCTGCAGGGCGAGGGTGCTGGTCACTGGGGCCTCTTTGCAGAGAAATACAGCTCTGAGGAGAACCGTGGTCATCCTGAGCATGACGCCGTCATTTTCCTGCAGGAGCTCCACGAGCCTTTCATGCAGGCTCCACATCCTTCTGGCCATCTACTTGTGGAACACAAGTGTGTGAACCACCATCCTGCTGCCACAGGGCCCAGGGGCCAAAGGCCTGTGCCAAAGCACTGGGGCAGCTGCAGCAGGAGGCAGGAGAGCTGGCAGCAGCTGCCTCAGTGCCCCAAGGCCAGCCGAGCCCCAGGGACTGCCTTCCCCAGCCCCACGCTGGCAGCACGGCTTCAGCCCCTGCGCTCTTCTCACCGAGGCACTGGTGGTGCCGAGCACCACGAGGCCTCTGAGTGCCAAGCGACGCCTCCCCCTGCACTCGCTCTGCAGGTTCTTTGACAAGAACTCCAGGACGCTGTCATGGCATTCACTCAGGTTCAGGCGCTCCAGGACCTGAAAGGCACAGGGCAGTGCCTGCAGCACTCTCTCAGTGCCTGCAGGGCCTG